ACAATATCAGCGTCAATTTACTGACTCTTTTTTCTCTACGTCTTTAGGTTACATTGATCTTTCCAAGCGTCGAGTTTCTCCCGAAGATGTTGTCAAGTGCGAGGAAAGATACAACAAGAGCAAGGCAGTCCACTCCATCATGCGCCACGTTGCCGAGGCCACTCAGACTCCTCTTGAGACCCTATACCAGCAGATCGGATGGCCTTTGAACCGCAAATACGGACACTCCCACGATGCGTTCAAGATCTCCATCACGTAAGGAAACCTCTCGACTCAAGGCTATCGCGGACCGAGTACTCATAACATCACAGGAACCCCGACGTGTGGAACGAGGTTGAATTCCCTAGCGAGTCCGTGAAGAAGGAGTTGACGCACTACATCAGCAAGAGACTTACTCCTCACCCGACCAAGGTCCGTGCCGATATTGAGGTTACCTGCTTCGGTTACGACGGTATCGATGCCGTCAAGGATGCCCTGCGCACCGCCGAGGCCAACAACACCCCTGAAACCCAGATCAAGGTTAAGCTGGTTGCCCCGCCACTCTACGTCTTGACCAGCCAGTGCTTGGACAAGGCTATTGGTATTCAGATGCTCGAGGAGGCCATTCAAAGGATCGAGGCCAGGATCAAGGAGTCTGGCGGTGGCTGCATCGTTAAGATGGCTCCCAAGGCTGTTACTGAGCACGATGATGCTGCTCTTCAGGAGCTCATGGAGAAGCGTGAGCGTGAGAACATGGAAGTCAGCGGCGACGAGAGCATGTCCGAGAGCGATGAGGGCGTTCCCGAGTAAATTGCCTGCGGCAAGCTTAGCGACAGCGTGTGAAGCTTGAGGGTTCGCTTCGACGGCGACATGAGAAACAAGCAGGACGCTTCACGAACTGGTGTTGGAGGGTATCGCAGACTGGAGATTGAAGGCGATCATATACGTGTGTCGGGTAGGGCGTGGAAAAAAAGTTCAATAGAGTTTCTGGACATGACACGATTTATGAGACGCAAGTACGGTTTAATGTGCGATGTGCGACGGGTGAAATCGAGATCATCGGCGGGGTATGAAGACGATCGGAAGGGCCTCATCCCATCCAAAGGCCTTTCTTTCCCATAAGGTGATAATGACATGCACATTGTCCCTTGTATTGTTGATCAGTGGATGTTGCTTGACTCTCTGTTGGTGAGTGGCTTTAGCCCAACAGGAGCCCTCCCACGTTTTGATGTACATAAGCTTCTTTGATCAACGAACGGTTCAACCCCAGTGGCCGTTTCAGATACTGATTTATAAGTCCTTCTCTTCCGGATGACGTTTAAGGAGCAGGTCGATCATTTCGCTCTGCTGCTCAGTAACAGTAGTAGTATCCTGACCGCCTGTATGGTTTGCACCTTGGGGATGGCACCTTCATTGGTGGTTTGGGTGAGCGGCTAAGAGGTGGGGCGCACGGCCTGGCCGAGTTAGTCTTGAAAGACTTACAACTAAATAGACCGTAGCTCTGAGTCTCCCTCCTGAGTCCCCCTCTCGGCGCCTGTGAAAATCTAACCAGTGCTGCTATTCTATTAATCGATCTATTCCTCTAGGCCATAAGAAATGGGCCACTGGCGAGATATCTTCAACACCGACACGGGGCGGACCCGCCACCGCCTGCATATGGAACAACACCGATGTACGTCATCTGATTGCGGAGCCGCTCTACAACGTGCTCTCGGCTAACAGGGTTCATAGTGCTTCCTGCCTTTACAGATGACCAAGTCTCTTCTACTCTTCCCTCTAAGGAGGTGACAAAAGTCGCTCTTCGTCTGAAATATCAGCTGGAGCAAGTCATCCCTTGCGAGCTAGATGAGAGTGATATTGTCAGTCCGAATAGTCGGGTCATCACCAAGAATGTAATTCAGACAGCCCGTCTAGCAGGAGGTGAGGACCTGCAGGCCTGTGTTCCATTTTGTCTACTCGTTTGTTTGCGTTGGTTCAAGCTTCAGGCCGAGGAAGAGCTCTGGGATTCCGATTTACATGAGCGCCGAGCCCTTGCTTGTGAGGTCATAGCGAAGAGGATGTAGTACACCCTTTCCTAACATTATCATGGAGCCTTTGCTGACTAAATTGATATAGCATTGAAACCGAGGAAGATCAGGACAATTTACTCATCAATGTTCTCCTTAAGCGGTATTCGATCTTCATCGATGGTGGGGAGACTATGCCAGTAAATGTCATCGAGCGCGCTGTTGATCTGCATGCTTTGAGGGTCATTGGCTCCTCGGGTTATCAAAAGTGTATCAGATACCTGTGGAATGGATGGTTCTGCCAGCAAGAGGGCAATCCAACCAATTTTGTCCCTTACCTGGAGAGGGACAACACGAGTTTTTCGGTTCACTTCCACCCAGATCGGATGAGGACGCCTCTATATCAGAACATCTGCCAGATCTTCTTCTCCCTCGTCTATCTCGGACTCTATACTCAGGTTATCAACACAGTAAATCCCACCGGTGACCTAGATGCCGTCGAGGGGATCCTCTATGTGATGACCCTTGCCTTCATCTGCGACGAAGTAGCCAAACTCTGGAAGGTCGGCTGGCACTACTTAGACTTCTGGAACGCCTTCAACTCTACGCTCTACGCAATTCTCGCCGTGTCTTTCTTCCTGCGTGTTGCTGCCTTGGCGCATTCTCAATCTGTTCACGATGCGGAAAGACAAAGTCTGAATGAATTGAGCTACAACTTTCTGGCATTTGCGGGGCCCATGTTCTGGATGCGCATGATGCTCTATCTCGATTCCTTCCGCTTTTTCGGTGCTATGTTCGTGGTTTTGAGGGTTATGATGAAGGAGAGCTTGATTTTCTTTGCCCTTCTCTTTGTCGTTCTTGCGGGCTTTTTCCAGGCATTCATCGGCATGGCTCAAGTAGATGACGATACTCCCATCGTAAGAGGTATTGTGCAAGGAATGGCGAACAGTGTCATGCAGAGCCCAGAATTCAGCACGTTTGAAGACTTCGCCTTTCCGTTCGGAATCATCCTCTACTACGTTTTCAACTTCGTTGTAATGACCAGTGGGTATCCCTTGGGTATAATATTTGGTTGCCAGGCTGATTCGGTCCGCTCTAGTTCTGCTGAATATCCTGATCGCGCTCTACAACAGTGCTTACGAGGATATCTCGGGAAATGCTATTGATGAGTACATGGCCATCTTCGCTCAGAAAACCATGCAGTTCGTCCGCGCGCCGGATGAGAATGTCTTTATACCTCGTATGTTTAGCTTACTATTTCTGATAGCCATGACTAACGCCTAAACTAGCCTTCAATCTGTTGGAGATCATCTTCTTAGTGCTCCCGTTTGAATGGTGGCTACCAAGGCAATACTACGCCAAGCTCAACGATGTCATCATGGGCATTATATACTCACCCATCCTCGTTATCACGGCGTTCTTCGAGGTGCGCGACGCAAGACGCATCAGGTGGAACCGTCGGCGCGGTGAAGAGGACGATGATAACGTGCAGGAATGGGAACACGCCGCCGAGGAAGTCGACTTTGATCTCGACGATAGCTGGACGCAGACTGTGCGGGAAACCACCCCGAATGTTCAAATTGACGGCACCACGTTGGAGATCATACAACTGAAGGAACAGGTCATGTCACTTACCGAGACAGTCAGGGTATTGGCTGAAGAGAGGGCTGGGAAGAGTATGATGCTTGGGGAGTCAAGCTCAACCATCGTGGATCCGGAATGAGCGTCATTCTGGGGAGGGTCAGTTGTCTTTTGGTTCTTGGTGTTTATGATCTATACGCTTCACCATATTTTGTGACAGTCGACAGTCGTCTTCCGGTTGATATTCTGCTTCGCTTCATACTTAGGTATATATATCAATGCATACAGATACGTATCTACGAGCATCAGGTTTTACTACTGTCGTATGTTGAGGACGATGTAGGGTGTGTTCCAAAGCAAAATAAATTAAGAAAAAAAAAGAAGTGTCTTTGTCGTGTTAACAAGCCTATGTCTACTTAACACATCTTGGTCCCGTTTTTGTGTTGTAACAAGGGGTAAAAAAAAAAAATATTATGATGATGAAAGGAGAGAGCACCCAAGAGAATCCTGAAGCGAACGTGAAAAAAGCAAAAAAGAAAGCCCAACGCGGGGCTCGAACCCGCAGCCTTGAGATTAAGAGTCTCACGCTCTACCGATTGAGCTAGCCGGGCTAGTTCGGTGGAAGAGGTTGGTTTAGTATGCTACATATTCCTTACATCAATAATCTGGTAGGTCAAGTATTCGATGACTGGATCTCCTCTTCTGCGGAAAGCTTGGGCCTGCCACCTATCTTTGACGACTGCTGGTGGATTTTTTTACCAATTATTTCAATCTAGAACAAGGTTTCTCACTGGTACTGGTATGGGCTCATGAGGTTATGACTGTAGGCAATATGATTGAACAACTGGCTTGCAACCCAGTGGTAATATATATTGAACGCCTGGAACTGCTGCATCCGCACCTGCAAACTGGTACTAGGGTTCAATACGTGGGGTTATCTTACAGCTGACGTGCAAGGGAAAGCGAACTACAGACAACTTTACCACGACACGATGCACAAAGTAGCAAGCAAAACAGTAGCAGAAGCAAAGGTAGAAAACGAAGCCGGTTGGCGAGTCGTAAATACTCCTCTGCCGCATGCTGGCGGTGGATAGCCCGTCCATAGGCAGCACACCCCATATCCCTAATTTCAACGTGCATCGTCAGCTAGAACATACTGAGTGGACGATTATACGTGGAAAACATGACGAGAACGGCCTGCAATAAATCTGGAATACCGAGAAGTGCTTGCAACAGGATGAACCCAGACTGAAAGGGTATTTATGTGTCTGCTTCGACTTGAGCATATCTCCCGGGGCGGTGGGAAGGCTGCATTAGCGTGGGTACCTGGAATATATAGCTTAATTAGACACTGTCTTTCACCGAACTAGCCCGGCTAGCTCAATCGGTAGAGCGTGAGACTTTTAATCTCAAGGCTGCGGGTTCGAGCCCCGCGTTGGGCTTTCTTTTTGCTGTTTTTGTTATTTAGATAACGCTTGTTTACGTATCCCAGTGCTAAATATCAGATGGACGGACATGTATCTAGCTTTTTTGACATGATGTCGAGACGGTCAGCGGACATACCTTCTCGAATCAGTGGCCTTGCATTTTACACGCCCACAATATCCAGCTTACATGTGTATAATAGGCCTTAACTCGGAGGCACAACAATGGATTCAATCGTCCTCACGCATACTCCCTCAAAACCTTGATCTGAACCCGATTCATTCCACGCTCCGTCTGCCCGAGGAATTTATCTCGGACCATCTCGACATTCCGCTCTGTGGTGTCATGAAGTTTCATCTCAAATTTCCGCAGGAGTGTCCCGAGAACCAAATATAGCCATGCCCAAGCCATACTGCTCTGAATTAGCTTCTGTCTGCACGGGTAGACTTTCTTTGTGTGACAACTTACTTTGGACCCAGGCATCCCATGGTCCCTTTGGAGAATGGAACAAGGTAACGCTCCAGCTTTCGTAAGTCTTCTGGCTCTAGGAGCCAGCGCTCAGGGATGAATCGCGACGGCTCGGGAAAGATCTCTGGATCACGGAGGATGAAATAGGTGGTCATGCTCACAGGAGTCTGGCATATTCATTAGCCCTTGCTTGAGCGCAGAAGAGGAGAGGAAAGTTGCCTTACCCCGCGTGGAATTTCCCATCCGTGAAATTGCAAGATCTCATCCGGCGCGGCACGTGGGAGGCGTGTGGTGACGAGAGCGGACAATCGCAGTCCCTCCTTTAACACGGCGGTCTGATGCACAATTAGACATTCGTCATGAGCATTCATTCTGAAGAAGGGGAACATACGAAATAAGGCAACTGCTTTAACGTTGTAAGTCGCGGCTCCGTCGAGGCATCTGTCCAAGAAGCACACAATTCAGCGCGGACTCTTTCGTACACCTCTGGGTGTTGTAGAATGTAATATAAACTCATGACCAAGGCTCTTCCTGGCGCATCGGTACCGGCAAGCAGCAGAAAGATCGCATCATCAGTCAGGCGTGAGAACTTTTTCTCGTCCTCAGGTACCTTCTCATCGTCTAGAATCGCAGGATAAATTGCCCTATGCTCCTCGCTGCTCCCTGTATCACGTTCCGTTATGGTCTTGCGAACCATGTCTTGGACTTCCTGGATTCCAATTAGCTTAATTAAGATTCCAAATGCAGATGTAACTCTCACCTTTTCCTGTAAATAGGCCCCGACGAAATCCGCATTCAGAAGTTTTGCTGGCCAAGGAAAGACGTGTGCCAGCTTGCAGAGCCAGGGGAAATGTCTTGTTGTTTGAACAAGCTCAAATGTAGAGTTCAACTTCGTCTTGCTAGCCGTACTCAGTTCCGGTTGGTCCAGAGAGTGAAAGCCGATCCGTTTCCCGAATG